GACTTACTTGACAAACAATGAGTTGACCATCAAGAACATGGTAGTGACTTACTTGACAAACAATGAGATGACCATCAAGAACATGGCAATGACTTACGTGACAAACTATAGCTTGCATTATTGCGTCAAAGCCACCTTCTGGAGCATCGAGATTCCCTGAGACACTAGCAGCCTTAACCTGCCTTTCAAATTCTTCAGTGTTGAGACTGAGCGGCATGTGATTCTTGAAGCCGTATGGAGGAGCACATCCTGTGCAAGGTTCTTTAAGCCTTGTAAATGATCAACGGAGATTACTTACAAAACTTCCCTTCTAAAGATTAATAACCTTATCAAAACACTACTAAATATTAAACAGGTTTCATTACTTTCTGGTTTAAAATCTTACAAAATGAAAAGTAGAACACCACTTGTGTAAATAGAGCATTTATAGCTACAAGTAACAAGTATATAAGTAACTTTAATATGCTCACATTATCATTTTGACCGAGGTTAGAAAAATTAATTTGTTAAAGCTACAAAACATCACTGCAAATGTTTTAGGTCACACAAAATATTTAATGATGATCCATAAATGCATGTCCTTTATTCATACAAATATAATTTGATATAAATTAATAATTGTAAATACTAATACTTCAACAGCAAATGTAATTGGTGTTTGAGTAAAATTTCAAAAATTACACTTTTAAGACAAGATTAATAAACTTTAATTAAATGATGATGTAAGGCCATATATATTACAATGAAGCCTTAATATTTTGAGAAATTGACACTACTAACCATAAAGAAGTTAGTATATATATTTTCAATCAAAGTATATTTCACTTCCCATGCATGTATATCACATAACTCAAGTGTTAGAGATAGAAAGGAGTGAAAAGTGCTTGTAAACAAGTTTTTCTTTTCTTTACGCACTTCTGAGGTACAGTGCTCACATAGGGCATCACAACCTTATCTACAAAAGAGCCAAAACCGAGACGAAAGTTGCTGGTGATGTTTTGCATGGTGGTTGCCAGCAAGTTACCAAGGGCTGCCAGTTTGTCTTTGTCGTCTTCCATTGATTTTGATAAATCCATCAAGTAATAGAGATCTACCGGATAGTCCACTGCTTGTCGGAACTCCACGTTCAGGGAAAATGGACTTTCTACGAAAATGAGAACACATCCAATAATGTTTTTTCTTCTTTACTAGGCCTTCTAATTGACGCAAATCTAGTTTAAATGGTCTTCAATTGAACATTAAAGATTTATAATTAAATTAAACAGATACTAGAGAAATACTTCCTTTATGGTTTCTATTAGTGACAAAAAAGTTAAAATTAACTTAAGGTTTATTTATTCTGTGACTACTATAGCACACAATCATTGGAAATTCTTTAGTTAAATAGAATATACAGTAAAGAAAATAATTATGGAAACAAATGAGGAAAAGGAGACTTAAAGGAAAATACAATGGGAAATTATCTTTTAAAGCAACATTTCAGAATTACATTTGAGAGATTAAATAACTTACAGAATACAAAGTGTTTTTATGAACTGTAAGTGTCAAACTGAAACAGGTAAGGCCCAATAACTTGTAAAAACCTAGTGTTTTTATGAACTGTAGTGTCAAACTGAAACAGGTGAGGCCCAATAACTTGTAAAAACCTAGTGTTTTTATGAACTGTAGTGTAAAACTGAAACAGGTATCTAGGTTCAATAGATTAATCTAATTATTTTTACATCTTTGGTTTAATGTTTTTTTTATTTAAAGCAACGACAAATATTATTACAGATGAGCTACTGTCTGTTTTATTCTTTAAGATCTTAAAAACTTGAGTGATTTTTCATCTGAAAAAAATATTAGTTTTATAATGAATACAATAAAGTTCTCTTGAATGAAATACTTGAAGACAGTGTTTTGTACTATGGTCACTCAACTCCTGTGAAGTGAGTACATCAGCTTATCTGTTGTTTACATGAAGAGATAACATTTTGTTCATCTCTGTCCTCTACTTAAAGTCCTGTTAGTCAATACTTGTTCCAAGTCCTTTTTTAGATAGTGTGATATAACAAGTTTCATTTCCAACCTAGTATGTTACCTGCTAGCAAGTGTGTTTTTTTCCTTGGATGCTTGTTCATACACCTAGGTAGCTAATAACTAATCATATACAATCCTTAAACTCCATCAACAGGTTAGTCCAAATATTGGTTATCATACCCCACTAGTAGATCTTAAGATCTATCATGCCCTTTTAGCCATATCCTTAATGTTGCGAGTAGGGGCTGAAGAGAAACAACAGTTTCTGAGTGCCCCTAATTGTCTCTCAAGCCCCACTGGGGCTTATTATACCTATAACCAAAAGCACTGCCAAGTTCATTTCATTTATCTGCTGGTTTAGGATAGAATAAATACAACACTAACAATGGTTTAATAACCTCAATTCTGCATAACTTGTAGAGAAAGTCACTGATAACAGCTCTTATTGTTACTATAATAACCAACTCATTGGGTTACATATAATTTATAACAATGAACATTGGAAACTGCTCCATATTCAATGTTAATTTCATTTTAACTGTTCAACAACATGGAGTAAAAACACTTTGAGAACGAGGACAAATTGTGGGTTGTAGCACATGAAAGCGTACTTCACTCAGTTTCGTAGCACAAGTTTGGAAACAAGCAGGTGTTAAAAAACTAAAAGGATGTAGTGGTCTTGTAAACTGAGTGTTGGGGCTGTTTGTGAAGTGTCTATGTAAAATGGACACCAAAACTAATAATCTGTAATAACAGAAGCACATAATATCAACACATTGAAATGGAAAGCCCAAATCTTGACCTACAATACAATTTTATCTAATTACACAGTGTATAAGTCCTTCATGTAGAATGTGAACAAACACATGTAGAGTGTATAAGTCCTTCATGTAGAATGTGAACAAACACATGTAGAGTGTATAAGTCTTACATCTAGAATGTGAACAAACACATGTAGAGTGTACAAGTCCTACATCTAGAATGTGAACAAACACATGTAGAGTGTATAAGTCTTACATCTAGAATGTGAACAAACACATGTAGAGTGTATAAGTCCTACATCTAGAATGTGAACAAACACATGTAGAGTGTACAAGTCCTACATCTAGAATGTGAACAAACACATGTAGAGTGTATAAGTCTTACATCTAGAATGTGAACAAACACATGTAGAGTGTACAAGTCCTACATCTAGAATGTGAACAAACACATGTAGAGTGTATAAACCCCATCTCCAGTGAGAAAGCAGACATGCACATAACCCATGTTTGCAGTTAATTATCCAAATAACATCTTTCATAATTAATTATTTATAATTTTTCAACAGACTAAGTGGTAAATTAATTGTAAAGCCTCAGTGAATAACATGGAGAAGAGTTTGTAGTTAAGCACAAAGCTACACAAAGGGCTATCTGTGCTCTGCCCACCAAGGGTATCGAAACCCGGTTTCTAGCGTTGCAAGTCCACAGACATACTGCTGTGTCACTAGGGGGCCACGAGGAAAAGAAAGACTCACAATTAACTGTCACAAAAAGCTACACAAAGGGCTATCTGTGCTCTGCCCACCACGGGTATCGAAACCCGGTTTCTAGCAGTTGCAAGTCCACAGACATACTGCTGTGTCACTAGGGGGCCACGAGGAAAAGAAAGACTCACAATTAACTGTCACAAAGTATTCATGTACCCAAAGTATTTTACTTTGTTTGTGATGAGAAAAGGACTTTGTATCTACCTTTGAAACTTAGTGTTCCATCACTATAAGAAACCTTCTCTACTTCTTTAGTTTGCTCTCCAAAGGAAAAATTATGTGCTGTGAATTCAGTGAAACTAGTTTACTGCAGAGGGATTAACAAAAAATAAATAAAAATCAGGCCTCTACATCATTCATAGCTCCTATCTCTTCTTCACTGAAGTTAAACATTTTATTGAGAGAAAACACATAAGCCACCTTTCTTGTTCGACATACACTGGAGTAGTATTTATTTTAACGTTCTGTATATATACATTGGATTTATTATAAAGTTAATTTCATAGCCTCTGTATAGAACAATAATAGTAACTGAAACAAACAAAACCTTACTTGGTTTTAGTTTCAGTTTAATTCTCTGTGGCTTGATTTGAACAGCATCTTCCTCGCTTGTTCCAGTGTCACTCAGTTGTTTATCCTAATCAACAAAAACAGATAATTATAGCTTTTCTTCAACACTGATGTTTGGTTATTGTGCATGAAATGAAGTTCCACATTTTTCACATACTACACAAGGGAGGTGAACATCATAACTGAAAAACATCCATTACCTCTACATCATATAGCTGATATTACAATATCAGCTTCGAAATTAACATAGTTATAACTTTCCTATACTGAAAACGTATTTCCAATAAATACTTACCTCTTCTCACATAAATAGCTATTCTCATTCAGTGCTGACCTCTACATGCAAAATATTTTTAGCATGCCACAAGCCTTGATGCTCCCATCCATCTAGAATTGACTGATTCCAATGCATCTCGCGTGCAAATTATGAAGCAACAACCCTCTACCAATAAAAGTGCAACACACTCTCTTGAGGCATGTGACTCCTTCTATTCAATTCTACCAAACAATCACTTTAAGTGTTGGCAGAAAATGGAAACACAAGTTTTCAGTGTGAAGTGTGAGAGGAGGAAAGTACATAGCGGAAATACATTTTCATTACAGGAAAATTATAACTTTTGATGCAGTACATTACCTCCACTCACATAAATAGCTAGAATCCTACACTGAATAGGAGGAAGGATCAGAGCGAGGGAAAGAAAGAGGCATCTGAAAGACACTCCCCGAAAGGAGATCTTCAGAGTCGAAGATCATACGTTGGAGACCACACCACTTCTGAATCAATATACTCTTCACCCATCATGGAAAAATGTCGTATATGTGTGTGCGAAAAATTGGAAGAGCACATCCAAATGGGAGAAAGCTATGGCAGGATAGTGATCTAAACCATACATTATTTATGAAATTGATTAAACTCAATCCTGGAAAACATTAAAGTGAGTAAGATTAAAGAATGTGCTCCTAGGTATAGAGTGGCTAGGGTGTGATGGACAGTACACGGCAAGTCAACTACACCCAAAACCATGCATTATTTATGAAATTTATTAAACTCAATCCTGGAAAACATTAAAGTGAGTAAGATTAAAGAATGTGCTCCTAGGTATAGAGTGGCTAGGGTGTGATGGACAGTACACGGCGAGTCAACTACACCCAAAACCAATACAAATATTCAGACAGAAATTGTTTTAGTTGATAAAAATTTGAATTTCAGTCAAAGAGTGGGAAATATAAATAAATTGTATTTATATATTTCACTTTATATATATATATTAATATTATTTACCGGACAATATGAAGTACAATGTAATAGTTTTGTGGTATTGGTCGGAGATTTACTTAACACTTCGCCAATAATTACTGGACAAATAACTATGCAATGTAAGTGTAAGGAAAGACTACATCTACAATAACATATTGCTGATATTAAACTGTGTAACGTTAACTCCATCTTTCAAAAATAAGCATGTTCTATGTAAAGCTGTGACAACAATGTTTATGATGCATTAATACCACCTAATGTTTGAGATTAAAACTACAGAACTCTAGATCATGGCCTTGATAATAATCTGTAATTCTAATATTTTGCTAGGGAAGAATTTAAGTCAACTTCATGTGATTTGTATGATGATGAATACAATGAGTTAACTGACATAAAAAGCTTATACTCACCACAAGTTTTTCCATTTTGCTATTTGGGTGAACAATTTCTTCACGTGAACACTTGCCAATCAAGTTTCCAATTGTGTCGCATCTCCGGCTTCCACCAATTTCAAAATCCTAAAAGAGGACAAAAGACTGTTAATTCTTTATTTAATTTAATGTTATATTTATGCTATCAGGATGGTAATAGAAAAACTGTCAACAATGCCGTACTGTTAAGCCAATGTTCTACATATATAACAGACTTTAAATAGCAGAATGTATCGAAAGAGACTGTTTCATTCAACACTGTCGGTGTACCCAAAGAGACTGTTT